TTAAAAAAATTGTTTTTAATAATAAGTTGTTTTGTCAGAGGCTGTCATGTGTATTGAGGAGGAGATAATTGGAGGGTGGGTATGGAAAGGGAAGAAGATGAAAAGATACACTGATGAAGAGGACAAGAGGACAGGGAGTTATGCAAGGAACAGACTGTGGAAACGCCACTATCCACAGGGAGAATGGGTCGCACAGGACACTGGAGATCTTTCCAAATTTCTCAGGCTTAATCCTTGCTGACAGTAAGCAAGTTTAGGAAGAGATGCTTAAGCTATTACCTGGCTGTGCCATTAACAAGTCTATGGGCTTCTCTATTAAGGTCACCTAAAACTTGAAAAGCTATTCAGCTGCTGGAGTGTCAAAAATTATCAAACCTTACAACCCTAAGAATACAAAAAAGTCCCAAATCTCCATTTCTCCAGCTATAATTATTCAAACTGTTCTGTCCCTTCTGAGGGAATAGCAGTTGGCTGCAAGATAGACAGGGCCTGGTAGTTGCTTCTTGTTGGTCTCTTGATGAGGTATATGTATCCCTCAAGAAATACCGGCATTATATTGAAAATCTGCAACTAATCACTGATAATGGGTTCTTCTGAAAACTTTACAGACCGAACAAGTATCCTCAAGCTTAATTTCAAAAAACCCTGGAGTTTCTGACAAATTGGTATTACAATTCTGAGATTAATCTTAAGCGTAAGTGTGTAAGCGGACAGCTGGAACTTAATTTTTCCACTCACATGAAGAACTGCTTCAGCAATGTCCTATCCAATGGTTCTCAGCCTGAGAAAGGAGAGGAAAGGTGATTTTGGCCCCCAGGGGACATTTGGCAACATCTGGAAATGTTTTGGTTTGTCACCACTGGGGAGTGCTACTGGCAACTAGTGGGCAGAGGGCAGGGATGCTGCTAAACACCCTGCAATGCACAAGACAGCGCCTCACAGCAAAGAATGATCTGACCCAAAATGTCAGTAAGTGCTGAGGTCAGAAAACTGGTCTACTCCAAATGCTTTATTAAACATTATTAAACCATAATACCATAATGGTGAAATTAAGAAGTCATTATCATTTTCATTAATGATTAATTTGCACTTGGCAGATTGAAAAAATAGACCCTGCCTAAAGTTTTATGCTAGCTATAAAGCTATACAGAGGGGAAAAAAGACACATTTGTGAGAGGAAAGGAAAGGAAAGGAAAGGAAAGGAAAGGAAAGGAAAGGAAAGGAAAGGAAAGGAAAGGAAAGGAAAGGAAAGGAAAGGAAAGGAAAGGAAAGGAAAGGAAAGGAAAGGAAAGGAAAGGAAAGGAAAGGAAAGGAAAGGAAAGGAGAAGGGTAGAGGGAGGGAGGAAGGTAAGGAAGAAAGAAGGGGGGGAGGGAGGGAAAGGGAAGGAAAGGAACAAAGGGGAAAAGGAGAGAAAGAAGGAAGGGAAAAATTACTTATTTTTCTTCATAAAAGCATTCACGATTTTCAATGAACCAAAAAAATAATCTTTCTCAGACAATACACTGAGAAAAGTGAGGAAAAAAATAATTATAAACTATCCTACTCATAAATACTCATCTATTATCAAGTTATTATTCTTCAAATATATTAATATACCATCTGAAAAGCAACCCTCTTATCAGAAGCTGTGATAACAACTAAAAGATGAATGCATTAGTAAATTGTTTAGTTCTCTTAGTTATAGGGCAATTTAAAAAAAAATTAGAGAAAGCTATTGAAGAGAAATCCTGTGGTTTGGGAGATACTACAGTGTGCTCAGCCATTTAGCTCCAACCCACTTCCTATCTTATCCTTTTCCTGGCAGATTTCCCTTCCAGTTAGTAGGGACCATTTGCTGTGGCAATCATTGGTTTAAACTCCTTAAGAACAACAGTAGCTAACATTTTCTAGGCATCTACTAATAAGATAAGCAAAATCATTTTTATAGCGTCTCTAAAAAGAATCTTTGGTATTAAAATGGTGAAATGAACAAGAATTTCATCAAAATAAGAACCTTACACAGATCAACCCACCATGGTGGAGGTGCTCAAGAAAAAATTGATAGTAAATGAATGAATGAATCCTCCCTCCTTTTTTAAGCACTATGCGAAATACAACAAGCCTTCTTTTAACTTCAGTTTTGGAGTTACATTTTCATAAATACCTATCATTTTACAAATGAATCTATAATCTAAACTGTCCCATTAAGACAATGTTAATTTCTTCTGCTTTTTGGCCTCCTGGCCCTGCTGCCTGAAAAGTGAGTCAATTATTTGTGGTAACTATTGCAAATGTCTTACTAATCCCACTGGAAATGTAAATGTGATCAGAGGAAAGAAAGGAAAGAAGCCCTAATGCCAGATTTTCAGCCACTGCTTAAGCTCACTCTAGCACTATGGGAATGACTTTCTTCTTCAGGAACATCTTAAAATCTGGGATTATTTTAAGGAAAACAAAATTTTACAAAATGTTATTTAGCTGTAAATTCAATTCTTTTCCATTTCCTGGTAAATGGTATTACGAATTTTCTTAAGGATTAATGTCTTCTATTCACTTTGATAAACAGTTTCGGACAAGTACTCTAGAAAAGCCCCAACTCTCAGTCATCTGCTTCGGTGAAAAGAGGAAGTAGAGAAGCAAAATGTCTAAGTCATCACTTTGGATTGAACTAAACATGAACAAAATTGGGACAGAAAAGAAAGAAAAGAAGGGGCAAGCTGGACCACCTCTGGGAGAGGAGGGGCACCATGGCAGGCTTGAGACTCAACCACGGTATTACAACACTGCCATTCTTACAGGCTAGTAGCAGTAAACTCAGCATTTAACTTAGAAATACTATGTTTGGGCTCCAAAATATTTTTCCTATTCTGATCCTGCTCTTTGTGTATAATTTTTACTGTTTCAAAAACTTTTTTTTCCCCATCAGAAGTAATTCTTCAAATCCAGTTCACACATCAGGATTTAATACATGCAGCAAGTTCCAAATGCTGTGTATTTCAGCAAATAGTTGACTGCCTTCCTACTATGCCTTAGGCACAGAGCAAGCCTCAGGCACCCCAAGTCTGAGACACATTATTTTGCTTTTGGCAAATTTTCACTGAGTACCTTCCTCCCCCAAACAAGTACCTAAGTCCACCAGACTTTTAACCCTTTATACCCCTTTAACCTTTAATCCTTCCCTCTGAAAGCTTTTGAGTAGTCAGCAGTCTGGGTCTTCTACTGCAGTGTGGCTTTACCGCAGGGGTTTGTTTACAAGTTTCCTACAAGATAGTTGTGGATGTGACTGCATCTCAGAGATAACTGAAATCTTTCAAGACTTGATTCAGAAGAAAACTAAGCGTTTTAATTTAGAAGGAAAAAGAGATACCTCCTCTCTGCTCTGAGGGAGCAAACCCCTAGGGGTAGTGAGCTCACCAAACCAACTCCATTTCCTCACCTTGCCTCCAACAGGCTCACACATTCTGTGGGCGCCGGGATAGATGCATAGCTGATGCGCTTGCTGGATCCTCTAGCACTTGTGGGATTGCCTGGCAATCAGGAGTGTCATAACTGTGTGTTAGAGACCACGTAAGAGTTTGACGGGAATTTAATTCTCAGTAACTCTGTGAAGCGGCAACGACTCCTCCCATTTCACAAGGAGGTAGCTGAGGTCCCGAGCACACATGGTAAATGGTAGAGCAGGGAGAAGACAGATCTTGTGCTTCTATACCGGCGCTCCTAACCACCTAGCTGTCTCCCAGCAGTAAGTGCACCATCCCAGAACAACCTGCCAGCTCTTAAGGATCACAGTTCTAGGCATCAAGCGATGAGACCCGGGAGCCCTCCGGCCCCTCTGTGGCGGGAATACGGGTCCTGGTGCCCGGAGCACGCTTCTCCCGCCTGTGCAGGGCCGGAATGTGCCTGTTGGGATGGCGCCGGGCCGGGGACAGACGGGGACCTGGCCAGAAAGTGGCGGCGGGAGTCGCGGGGCGGGAACCACCTCTCCGGCTGCGTCCGGTTCCCGCCCCTCGGGCCCGGCCGCAGGGCGGGGCTCGGGTCGGGTCCGGGCCGGGAGCGGTAGCCGGCAGCGGGAAGCGGCCGCCGCCCGGGCCGCGCCGGGAGAGGCGAGGCGAGGCGAGGCGAGGCAGGGCGGGGCGGGGCGCGACGGGAAGGGGAGGCCGCGCCGGGCCGGCTGCAGCAGCCGCGCACCGAGCGCCACGATGGGGCTGGAGACGGAGAAAGCAGACGTCCAGCTCTTCATGGACGACGACTCCTACAGCCGCCACAGCGGCGTCGACTACGCTGACCCGGATAAGTTCGCGGACTCGGGCTCCGACCGGGATCCCCACCGGCTCAACTCGAACCTCAAGGTGAAAAACAGGGGCGGGCCGTAACCTGGGCCGCGCCACGGCCTGGGGGCGCTGGTGCTCCCCCTTTACGCTAGCCCGGATCCCACCCTCCACCCTCGCCACTGGGTCAGCCCTGCGGGGTCCGGGACCCAGAATCCACATGCCTCGGGGTCGCTTGTGTAACCAGGAATTCTTAGCCAAATTCCTGTTCCCCCAACTTGACCCTGAGAAGATAGGCAGCCCAGCCCGCTTCTCGCACCCGAGCACCCCTGGTTCCCCGGGGGGGGGGGGGGGGGGGGGGGGGGGGGGGGCGGCGCAGGTTGGTGACAGTTCGGGATCCCTGTGTCTTGCCTCTGCAGGTGGGCTTCGAGGATGTGATTGCAGAGCCGGTGTCTACGCACTCCTTTGACAAAGTGTGGATCTGCAGCCATGCCCTCTTTGAAATCAGCAAATACGTGATATACAAGTTCCTGACACTGTTCCTGGCTATCCCCCTGGCCTTCGCTGCAGGAATTCTCTTTGCCACCCTCAGCTGTCTACACATCTGGTGAGAAAGGGCACACAGGGGTGGACCAACTTTCTGAAAGTAGGAATGTTCTTTGCCACCTGCCCCCTGCACTCCCCTTCTCCCAGGCCAGCTTGCAAGAAGGTTCATCAGTTCACCCACACAGTAGCAAGAACTGGGAGATCTGGTAGGGCGTATGCTTTCTTTAGAATCACAGGTTGGTTGGGTTAGGAGTTTAAACAGAAGTAATGTTCCTCTGTCCTCGGGTGTGATTTTCCTTCCGATGTTAATAAAGGCCCAGCTGACTGGAGGTGGAGACCTGGAGGCCATGCTTCCTGCCACAAGTTGTTCTCTTATAGGGCTGAGTTAGGACTTGTGCCAGTGGTTCTGGGCTAGGCTCTTATTTCTTTCATCACCTTTTATTCAGTCACCACCTGTGCTTGGGGTAAAACAAAAGTGATCTCTGAGCAGAATGCCAGTGACAGTATAACTGAACAGGGATATCAGACCTGGCTAAGCAGTGCTATGGAGGGCTGCTCCAATCCTGCCCCTAGCAAATGGCAAGGATGAGACCAGAGGAGATGCCATGTGTGTGCAATTGTGAGGGGCCCTCAGCACAAATGAATGAAAACTCAAGCTGCATAGGATAATGAAATGAGAAGTCCTCCAAATTACTTTTCTGCCTATGAGACATGGAGAGTGGCATCAACTTCATGGGAAAGTAAGTATAGAAACCTGCTGGGCATTGGTAAGATGTTTTGAGTAAATTTATTCACACTCAAAATGCATCATAAAACCTTGAAGAATATTTTAAGCGTTAAAATTTTTTTGAAGGAAACTTTTATATTTACCAAGAAGTTGTGTTGTTATTATATTAAAAGGTATTCACTTTATCCTGAGAGAAAGAACACTCTGGTCACCCTGGAGTATTGCCACAGTTGTCAAGCTTGTGCTTTAGGGCAATCCTGGTGACATGTATAATCCTAAAATGCCTTGGTGTCTTTCTTAATCACTTCATATGGTATTGCCACACCCTAACACTTGTTGTGTCCATTGTTAAAAGTTAAGAAATTATTCTCAATTCCCTTTTACCTTGTAAATCAATATCCTTTAGTCACTTAGCTAGCTAGTTAGCTCAACCAAATAAATTTACTAAATGCTTGGTTTGTGCTGGGCACTGGGCCCAGGATGAGTAAGACAGATGTAGTATCTGCCCTCAATTTACTCCTAGCATATCAGGGCAACTGGCTAAGTATAGAAGTAGATGCTGAGGAAAACTCTGGTAAATCTGTTGAGGAAGGGGGAGGCACTAGGAAGTGTATGTAGAGAGAAAGGAGTCTAAAAAGAGGGGTTTTTCTTAAGTTTATTTTATTATTCATTTTGAGAGAAAGAGAGAGAGTTTGTGCAAGCAGGGGAGACGCAGAGGGAGAAGGAGAGAGAGAATCCCAAGCAGGCTCCTTGCTGTGAGCAGGGAGCCCAAAGTAGGCTTGGACCCATAAACCATGAGATCATAACCTGAGCCAAAATCAAGAGTCAGACACTCAACCAACTGAGCCACCCAGGTGCATCTAAAAAGTCTTTTAAAGGGTACATAAAAATTCACCAAATAAGTAAAGGACAAAAAACAACTATTTAATTTGATCACTAAAGATTGACAACAACTAAAATATATTGAGAGTGCCACAAGACTGGAAGAGGATGAAAATCTTTGCCTTTATACATAAGCAGATTCACAAAGGCCAGATGTATAGTTAGCTCATATTCTGACATTAGCATATGGATTTTTAAAAAGAGGCCTCAGCCAGCACATAAACTCTGGATTCCTAATGAACTGAAGCCAGTCATCTAACCTCTTTCAAAAATGTGACACACTGAGTAACCACATAGCATATTGTGAAATGTTGGCTATGAAGCTATTTGGAAGTATAGAGTGCCATATTTATAATCAACAGAGCTGGGCTTTCCTAAAGCACTTGCTGAGGAATTGAAAACAAAATGGTTTTCATTTACTAAATAGTGGAAAGCTATAAGTAAAGCTATAATTACCCAACAATGCTTCTCTTCACCTGGCTCTCCTGAAAATGGAAGGTGTTTTTTGTATGTGGTGCTTCCAATGATGAATCATCAAATCATTTCTTTTTCAGTCACATAAAATGTATTCTTTAACCTCAGCTTGCTTTTCAAATTACATTCATGTGGAACATTAATATTTAGCCATCACCCATTCATCATCAGGCAGCTGTGATTGCAAGTAGAGGAGTAACTGCAAACAAAAATGGTTAAAAAGTTAGTTTATAAAACTAACTTGATAAAATAGATTTATCATTAATAGATTACATTCCCATGACATGATAAGACCAGACCAAGGAGAGGTCTTACAGAACAAATCTATTTGAGTAAGCCTTTCTTCTGTTTCACTTCCTTTTCTTTCTTTTTTCTTTTGGCAGGGAATAGGGGTTGCTTATTATAAAGAGATTGGTGGCCAAAGCGATGAAAGTATGCAGCAATAGATATTCAAACCACATCACTTCCTCACCGTGGATCTGATTTTAGATTCTTTAAACAAACAAATAACAACAAGAAAAACACCTAGAGCTCAATCTGGTGATATCGGATCCTAGGTCAGAAGTACAGGTCATTAGGGACCAGTGGATTGTATTGATACCATACCACATTCAGATTGAGATAGCCACCTTTAAGCAACAGCAGATTATTGGTCATAAGGGGATCATATCAAAGAAATGTGCCTGGAGCTCCCTTACCCCTTGTTTTTGTTGGGATGCAATTCAGATAGATTGTCCAACTTATAGAAATATAGTGGTAGCACTTTCACTTTTAGAAGAAGTATTTAATATAGCAAATTGCTAATGACAATGCAATCTGCATGATACTATAGTTAATACAAAGCTAAATAAAAGTCTCTGTCCTAAACGCTTTGTTATTCAATGGAGGAATGTATAATCTTATAAATTATAAGATTTCTTTACAAAGTGTTTGGATCATTGTATCTTCTGACCCACAGTGAGAGAACAACAACTTAAAGAAAATTAAAATGAAATTAAAATAAATTTAAATAAAATAGATTTAAATAAAATTAAATTAAAATGAGTTCACCACATCCTATCAACTTAAGTCTCAAATGTGAGCAACTATACTTTGCTGAACTAGAAAGTCCACTTTGTCCGCTTAATTCCCTTTTAGGACATGGAGATCTAAGAAGTTATGGGGAAAGAAAATGTCTTAGCCTAAGGAAGAGTGGAAAGTATATTGTACTCTCAGTGAAGTAGATTTGGTTAGGAAACTTTCTGATTTAAAGTTTAGTCTTAGAGTACATCAATTTGAGATTGTTTTAATTGTTTTCACTATATATTCTGATTTCAGATTGTTCTATTTATACATGATGGCATCATATATACATTATAATAGTAGCATCATAAAGACATTCCAAGGGTATATAATAAATGTTAATCCCTATAGCCAATCATAAGAGCTCCTGTTCATACTTTAATTTGTAGTGATATGCCCAGGGCCACAAATCAAGTGAGAAACATAATGGGATAAGAAGTCAAAAGTTGTCATCATTCTGGTTTCCATTCAACTGTTTAGCTTTGAAACACCCAGTAATTAATTTTCTTTAAAAATTTCTTTAAGTCTTTAGCACTTAGAACAAAACACGAGATAAATATAAGTGTATAGACAGTCAGTATGAATAATTCAGTATTCTAAAAATATCTCAATCACACATTTGCCTGGTCTTCCTTTCACTTTTGACTAAGCACAACAGACCTTTATTTAAGTCACATTTTAATAGCAAATCAAGAAAATCAACCTTACTTCCTTGTGCCCATCCAGATAATAATAAAAATTCCATTGAGGCTCCCAGCAATTCCTGAGTGTTCAAAGATACTTTTGTGCTCAAATAGCACTACTACAACAGAGAGCATTATTCAGAGGATTACATAGAAAATTAATCAGCATGAAGAATATGCACGTTTGCAGTTATCTTAAGAAAAGACATAGAAAAAATAATTTCAGGATAGTCTAGGTTGTTTGTTTTGTTTTGTCTAAGAGTTTTGACAGGGTTCTGTCAAAGTATTTGCAGGGTTCTTTTAACTCTACCACACAGCTCTTTGTAATGACTATGAAAAATTAGTAATATTAAGTGTGACAGAATGCTAAATTCACTTCAGCTCAAACGTTTAATAAAGGTCAAGGATGTCCTCACTTAAGGAGCTCCGATTCTAGTAGGAAAGACAGAAATATAGCCATCTACTTATGATATCCTTTGGTAAATTTGAGGATTAAGAAATTTTATTTTAGTACTTTAGAAGCACAAAAAAGGAGTCTCCAACCCAGCCTGGATGAAGGGGTAGGGAAGTGGAGTGAGGAAACAGGAAAGGCTACCAGGAAATAGAACCTCAGGGAAAAATGAAGAATTAAGCAGGTTAATGTTTAGGGGCAGCGATCAGGTAGATATATTTACCGTTTTATTTATTTTTTGTTTTACTGATTCAGACAGCATGCCACCAATAGAAAGAGTACTGGTATTTGTCATCTACTTGCCTGTTTATTTTTTTAAACAACATATGTCTGTGCATCCTATCACTATGTGGGTCACTATTCATTTACCTGTTTCAAATGTTCGACCAAATTTAGGTAAATTAGGCCATTATTGTATCTTTCCAAGCATGTGCAAGAGTCAGTGGCCTTATTTGGTAACATCAGTAATCCTTACACAAATCTTTTCCTCCATTCCAGGATTATAATGCCTTTTGTAAAGACCTGCCTAATGGTCCTGCCTTCAGTGCAGACAATATGGAAGAGCATAACAGATGTTGTCATTGCCCCACTGTGCACAAGTGTAGGACGCAGCTTCTCTTCTGTCAGCTTGCAACTAAGCCACGACTGAACACTTGGACCCCAGGTCTAGAGATTTGGATACTGTAATACTTCTGTGTTGTTTTAATGTAAAAGCACTACTGTTCTGTTCATTTCCCAATTGTTCTAATCGAGCAAATTTTTAAGATAAGCAACCACTTTTAGAAATGTTTATTGGCAGATCTTTTCAAATAATCCTTTTCTAATTAATAGCCAAGGATTTCATAACAAACGTTATAGCCCGAATTAAACAGTAGGTTGGCAACACTTAATGTTAAAGGCAGACAGTTTTTGCTTTAGTAAAAAAGTATACATTTCATAATGATGAATTTATAAAGATCAAGGGACACTTCTTAAACACTATAATAGTTTTGTCACAACTGCTCATAAATAATATGCGATTTCTTATTTTTTTACTCTGAGAGTAATACTTTTAAAATTACCTTTGCAGAAAAAATCATGGCAATATTTACGGGAAAAATATGTACAGAAAAAAAAAAAAAGGTCCTAGGAATTACAATAACAAAAGCATGCAGTGGTAATAGATATCAAATATAATAAAACAAATAAATGTGAAAATAGATTCATGAACATCTGTTCCTTTAAATAGGATATTGTTAACCTGCAGGTCTATTTAATAAGATGTTGCATTTTACTGTATATTTTGTACTTACTGTAAATGTTGCTCTAATCGGATTGCTTTCAAGTACTTTTATTATATTATCTTATTGAACTAATATATAGAATGATTAAATGTATCTTTCCTGGGGAACTTCATTGGTGAGATTGCACTGTCTTGATTATGTAAGCATAAATATCTTCTCTGGGAATAGAATATAAAAGAGCGATATATAATATAAGATTTTTCTTTTTAAATTTTCTAACCAAAATCCTGAAAAGTTTTCTGACTTAGGTTTTTCTGGCTGTGACCTTAAAAATAATCCAGATCTAAATGGTATTTCATCTAGGAGATGCTTTCTCTCTTATAGTTAGAAATTAAACCTGTATTCTGCATTCCTGTTAATATCTCATTTTACCTTCAAGTAATACTGGTGCTATTTAATAACACTCAACATAAAGACTATTTTTGACACTTAAGTACTATTTCAACTACAGTGATTCATGGAGAAAGACTTATAGGAAAGTTGTCAGTTGTTGGGCCCATGCTATTGAGGTCCATATATATAAGTTAAAGAGTAACAGATACAGACTTTGAAGATGTTATCTGATATGGATTTTGTTAGTATAAAATTATTCTTATCATTTTTGAACTGTAAAGTCCTATTCAATGTTATGTCACTATTCTTTTAAAAATCTCATTATCCAAAATGATAGGCATGTACAAAATATGTTTATGATATAAGTGGTTACTATAATTTACATATCATAAAAGTCTATAAATGCTCAAATTTCAGAATTATTATCAGAACCTGAATTAACATTCCTCTGAACATCTTCATAGATGATAAATCTTCATTCAGTGAATATTAATTTTACTTTTCCAAATTACTAGGACTAGTGAATATAAAGGATGACTGAACTGGAATACTATTGGGGCCAAAGTAAACAAATGATTAAATTATAAAACCTATCCTTTTGAAGATAGCTACAAAAGAGACTTCAAAATTAGAAAAGATTCTCATGATCATTACCTTAAAACATTACCACTCTTTTGACTATATAGATTTTATTATGTTAGTTAAAAAGGTCAGTCTCATGACTACAGTTATACTATAAACAATACAACTATGTATTTGAAGTGTTGTTTTTTTTTTTAATATTTGGATCTGTGGATTGGCTAAAAGTATTTGATTAATAAAATATGTATTTAAATAAATCATAAGCTTAAATAAATCATATCTTTCCAAATAGCTATTGACAAGTTTTAAAGCCAAAATAAATACAAATAGTCATATAACAAAACCTATTAACTTTTAACAAGTGAGATATATGACTTCCTTATTTCTGAATAGCATTGATTACTGTCAAAATGAATTTTTACTGAGACTTGCCATTAGCTATTTTATTTCATAGACTGAAATTCTGTACCAAGTGATCCAGGTTTCATGTGCAAATATGTTAGTTCTTTTCTTCAGGGGTGGGGCAAGTAGGCGATGAGTCTCTATAATAAACTTTCTAAAAATCCATAATGTGTTCATTGTTTTTATTATATTAAATACAAAATTAATCAATAAAGAACCTTTTTAAACCTTGTTAAAACCCCATAATAGAAAAAAAAAATATGAGTTATTGCTTATTCAGGAACGTATTTGTGAAAAATTATGGGATTGGTAATTTGTTTTCTCAGCACTTAAACTGGTTCCCTATAAATTTTTCTATCATTTGATGAAAAGTATACACAATGAATTGTTCACAAACCCGTCATACTTCATCTTCCTCATGAAATGAAAGTCTCTTGCTAATCCTAAATAAACTGATAGTTCTGTTTTCAATTTTTTAAATAAGAAAGTAAAACAACATAAATCACATGTACTTGGATACTGGTGCCATGAAGCCAGACTAGAGTCCAAAATTATTTTTGGAAAGTGAGTATGTGAAGAGTAGCTGCTGATATTGGCATGGATTTTCCCATCAGTTAATCTGGAAAAATGACCAGCTTCTAATAATAAAGCAGGTGTTTGGCTTTTTAAAATGCTTTTTATAGTTTTGAAAAATTTTCCTCTTTTCAATAGTCATCCACATCCCATTGACTTATTTAGATGCCTTTCTTGGGAAGCTGTTACAGTGCAGTGAAAAGGGCCCTGCCTTCCAGGTTAGGCATCTGGATTCCAGTCTCAGCACTGCCATTACTGAGGTGTGTCACCTCCTGCAAAAGGTTTCACCTTGGCTCTCAGTTTTCTTATCTTTAATGAAAGAATTGAACAAAAGGAGGTTTCAGGAACTTCCTATCTCATTGCTTTCTGTGACATCAGTAGGATAAAGCCTTGGCACTGTATGCAAACGAATCTAGCTGTTCAGGAATTTTTTAAAAATTAAAAATTTTCTGTCAGTTAGAGGGCTGATGTGCTATAAATACAATAACAAATACATTCACTTTTCACTCTTCAGTTGACTGTAAAGATGAGTGTGTGGCTTTGATTCTCTATGACAAGGATTCCTAGATTTTTAACAATTCTGAGGATTATTGTTACATTTTCTCTGAAAATAATGTGTTTCTCTATTTTTTTTAGTTAATTAAAGTGTATTGTATTTGAAGATGTTTCTGCCAAAATCACTGCTATTGCCTTCTTCATCTTTTGCCTGGCTAGTTGCCACAGCTGCCTAGCCTTCAATATTATCTTCTCTAGCCTTCAATATTATCTCCAGCCTTCAATATTATCTTCTCTAATCCATCTTCCCCTTCAAAAAATAGTGATCTTATCAAGACTCCCATGACATTCTCCTGTGTTAAACTATCAATGTATGTGGTTGCCCTTAGACTAAAATCCAAACTCTTGAGCTATTTAGACAAGGCCTTCACTACCAACCCATTGCTGTCTACTGTAGCCCTTACTGAAGTGCCATACTGCTCTTAAGTGCCCAACTCTCTTCTGTCCCCATGCCCACATCACTCCTCTCCTCATGGCCTGTCCCATTCCCGCTTCTAAAACTCCCCCACATCGAGTGCCTCTTCTGTGTCTTCAGAAAAAATCTTATGCAAACCCCTATTGTTACTTCCCACATGGTAAAACTAACCCTGTTAATCCCCTCTAGACTGCTAGATAGGTCGTTGAGAACCAAAAACATGACTTCCTCTTTGTTTCCTGGGATTATGAAATGGTGCCCAGCACATAGTGAGCTCAATCAATATTTTCTGAATGAATGACTATGTGAATAAATAGTTGAAAAAAACTTGGAATGACTGCAGAGCTGGAATGGGGATCACATTTCAACTTCATAATTTTCTTTATAAAGAAAGAACCAAATTTTCTTTATTTGCAAGAGAGGTTTGAAAGGCACTGATTCTAACGAGATTTCCTTTCTCACCATTTTCTCATTCATGAATCATCAAGGTGGGAAAACAAAAATGTATGTAAAACAGATATATTTCATCCTTGTCTTGTGATGCTTGTCTTTACTCTTAATTCTCTTATCTAAAATGTATTCTCATTTCTGAAGTGTAGGAAATACTAGCACTTAAAAACTCATTTGGAAACATGCTTCCTGGTATTCTAATATATTGCTATTTCCTTTACTATCCTATTTCCCATTTTGAAATGTATAATGCTAAAAGATAGTTTTATGGAGTTTTACATTTTAGAAAACCCAGTCCCATATGTTGTCTCATTTGAATCCCAGGACAAATTAAACAGCATGGCAGAGAAATCATATACATAATGGCTCAGTTTTTTTTAGCTTGCAGCTTTGTCATTTTAGGATGTTTATTTGAGATAACATGAGCTTAAAGGATTTTTACAAGGCTACACATTAAGAAACTAAAAAAAAAAAAAATGTAGGTACTGCTACAGTGAAAAATTACCACCACAATGCAACTTATCATAAACCAGGATTTGGTATATTTCCTTCCTTCAAGGTATATATGTGGGGAGGACAAGGGAAAGAATTATAGGAGAAAAAAATCAGAGGATAAAGATATACTAGATATTCAGGCAATAATTTGTAGGAATCAGAATAATTTGGGCTTCCACAATTTAATCATCACAATCTCCTTTCCTATTCACCCCCAAACAGCAAATGAGCAAAAGAAGGCACTCTTTGTTGTACTTTACAACATTTTTGTACCCACTCCTTAGCCATTTTCTTTGGACTATATCTGAACTGTCACCAATAGAACATTACACTTTGATGCTTGCTTAAGTAAAAAGTACCCTTGGGTAGGGTAACATTTACATCCATAAACAGTCATCTATTACTTTCATGTGAATAAGAAGGGCATATTGAAAATTACATGAGGGACCTGAGCATGAGGGCCTTGACCTGAGTTCCATATGTGACTACCATATCCATATACTGATTAAAAGACACAGCACCAAAGAGAAAATTGGGACAGGAAAAGGGAAAATAGAAGGCTCCCATGATACAATCATCACCCATCACAGTTTTGCTTTTGGACAGCCCTGCCCCAAACCTCTAGTGAAGGGGGATGATGGAAAATGAGCAGGGATAGAGGGAGTTGAAATCATCTAAAGACTTTCCTTTCCTTCATAAAGAAATGTTATTTATGTCTTATTGAATGAAAAGGGCTAGAAGGGGTTGTGAGGGCTTTGCTACCTCCATGGGCCCTAAAGGCAATGCAGAAAAGCAAAAGTTAAAGTATAAAGAACACTACAAAGTCTGACTATCTGTCTCTCTTCCACCTTGCCTCTCTGTGCTGTTGACTGTTG